CTCTCTCGTTTTCAACTGAGAATGCTGCCACGTGTGACAATGTCTCTTGACCAAGTTATGATCTTAAATTATTATTAACTAACTTCATTATACTCATACTACCATTATTTAGATTTTTGATATTTCACTCATCGTGGATTTTTTTCATTAATTTTGATTTTTAAAAAATACTGCCTTAAAGTAGTACCACGATTGTTGAGATTTTGGACACGTTTCTAAGTTTTGTGTCTCAAGCTAGTGCCTCACAGTCCTCACCCTAACCCCGGGCCTTCTGGAGACGTAGGGGCTGAGAGGCCAGAATATGCAGGGCTGTGGGCCGAGGAGTTGGAGCTTTATTCTCTAGGTCAGGGGTCAGCAAACTACATACAGCCCTGGGTCCAATCCGGCCCAACGCCTGTGTTTGTAAATAAAGTTTTATGGGAACATAGTCATGGTCATTCATTTACTTATGGTCTAAGGCTGCATTCATGCTGCAAAAGCTGAGTTAAGTGGCTGTAACAGAGATTCTATGGCCCAAAAAGCAAAAAATATTTATTCTCTGGCCCTTGATAGAAATACTTTGCCGGCCTCTGCTGTAGGTGATGGGGGCAAACAGATGTTCAAACGCAGACGAACTGAACAATGACGGCTTTTAGATGATCGCTCTGTGTAGGGCAAGGGAGATGAGGAGCAGGGAGATGAGGCGTCCAGGAAAGAGATCCTGAAGCCTGAGCAATGACGGGGGTCAAGACGGAGAGAGGGAGACTGGTGCTACCTGTTTCTAGGAGGAAAGTAGACAAGACGTGGTGAATTTTTGGCTGTAGCAGAAGAAAGGGAGGATAGAGAGAAGGTGATTCCTCCATGCCTGGTCTGAAGGGAAGAGGAGGGGCTGTCATGCTGTCAGCAAGATGAGGATCCGACTTGAAGGGATGAGGAGGAGGAGATGAGGAGAGGAACTTTGGCCATACTGAGCGGGATAATCTAGGGAGTCACCCTGGGAGAGGTGTCCAGGCACAATGCTGGATGGAGAGAAGTCCAAGTAACTCACCTGAGAGACTGACCCCGTGACACTGTTTGCACACTCCATGCCCACGTCAGCCACATCCTCTGCTGGCCTGGCCACTTTCTTCCTTCGGGACCTCACTCTGAGTGAAGAGATCAAGAGCCTTTCAGTCTGGACAGCTCAGGGTGCAGTGGGCAGACTGACCCCTCCTCTGTTCTCTCTTAGGGGCTGGAGGGGTGACTGAGGTGGGAGAGGGGTGGCCCTGTCCCAGAGACCCCATGGTTGAGAACAGGCTCCCCCCTCCTGGACACTGGGGCCAGAGGTTTGTGACAGACTCACCCAGGTGCCAGGGGTCTCCTTCCTGCCCTTGCTTCAGGCTCTGGACCCACCCAGTCCCCCAGCTCTGGCTTCAGGGATCCGTGGCTGCCTTCCCTTCCCACCCCAGGGCTCTCCCTCCCTCCCCAGGTCCCTGCTCACATGATGACGATGACGCAGAAGGACAGGAAGAGCAGGGCTGTAGCACCTGCTCCCCCCACGGCCCCCAGCACCACTCCTGATAAAGGCCACGCTTTTCCTGCAGAGGATTGGATTATTAGTGTTTCCCTCTGAGAACTCGGTCTCTTCTCCTCCCACTCCCTGTAGGGCCCCACACTTCTGTGTTCAGGCCACTTTGCCATGAGCAAGAACATGTTCAGGGGCTGCGAGTGGGGGTTAGGGTGAGGAGAGTGAGGCATAGAAGTGCTGAGTTGCGGCCTATCTTTAATTAAAATGTTGTCATTTTGTTCTTTGTGGAGTTTATTTTGTATTTTTAAAATACTTTTTTAAATACTCTATTGCAATATTATTGCTCTTGATTCCTGAGGATTTTCCATTCTCCTTAAGTTTTATGGTGAAGAGGAGAGGTTTACTCACCTGACCTTCGTCCCAACCCCCGAAGAAAGGGTCTTGTGTCCCGAGACACACCTGTCCAGACCCCAGCCCCTCTCCTCCAAGACCCACCTCCTTCCCTGGCTCCCCCTCCAGCCCTCAACCCACCCCACAGCCCTGGCCTGGCAGGAAATGGACAGTGACACCCTGAGTCCCAGGGGATTTCCAGGCCTCACAACCCAGCACAGAGCAGAGCTGAGCTCCCCTCTGAAGCTCAGGGGGCTGCTGGGTGGAATGTGGGGTGGCGTGGGTGCTGTCCTCCGCCTCCAGCCCCTCCCCCATCCACCGGTGCACTCACTCTGCAGAGAGAGGCTCAGGGAGACGTGCATGGAGCCCTGAGGGTGCTGAGCTTGGCAGGTAAATTTGCCTTCATGCCTCCAATCCACCCAGGGCAGCTCTAGGACCCCGGGGTTCAAGGGCTGTGAGGGGCTCAGGGTCTCGCTCCCATGGGCCCAGCTCAGCGTGGCTGGGGGGTTGCTATCAACAACACAGACCAGGTGCAGTGACTGACCTTCCAGGACTGAAAGAGATGACCCGTTCTTCAGGACTGTGGGTGCTGGAGAAGAAGAGACAGAGGGTGAGAGAGGCAAAGAGATGGAGAGAAAGGAAAAGGATGCAGAAGGAGACCTGGTGAGGAGGACAGACACGCAGATACAGTTTGAAGTGCAAGGAAATGCACACTTTGACCCCTCAGTTGTGGAAATGTACACTTGTCCACCCTCCATGCAAAGCAACTTGACCATATCTCTCAAAATTAGAAAGAGCATAGGAAGCAGCCATATTCTGCTTTTACGAAGTTATCGCACAGACACACACACACATCAAAGGAGACACAAGAGTATTCATTTCAGGGTTTCTGTTAGTAGAAAAAAACAAATGCCATGATTTTTCCATTAACAGAAGATGCACACAAATCAGAATCCAGCCAGGACATGGAATACGGCACAGTCATGGAGAACAATGAGGACAGTCTGCACTACTGACATCAAATGACCCATAAGATCGTTTAGGTGAAGAAACCAAGGCCCAGAGCACCCTATGGACACTGGTCACTTCCTGGGAGTGGACGGGGCATCTGAGGACAGACTCTGCTGTTCATTGTGAATTTTAGACCATGTGAATATATTACCTGTTCAAAATACCTAAACAGATGTTAGGGAAAATAAAAAGATGAGACTGGAGGAGTCTTCAGGAGATGGGTGATAAGGAGCCTCAAGAGATGGGCTCTGCTGTGTGAATGTTGCTCTGTTCTCCTTGTGGAGCTGAGAAGGCAGTTGGAGAAGTCTGAGGGGTATGACGGGGCTGATGTGGACAGATGCCCACAGCTCCTTCCTACCTGTGCTGTTTCCTGGGAAGACAGTGACGGTCAAGTTCTGTGGAGAGTCTGGCACAGAAAGACAAGGAGGCCCCGCATCAGTGGTGAGGGCTGGGTGGACATAGGTCCTTGTCCCCAGGAGCTGTACAAATGGGGGAAGGGTGGAGGCACGAGTCCTCCTGACCTGCTCCCAGTGTGGATTCTGAGACCCCCCCACCAATGTCTGAGACCCTGACACCCCCATCCCCACTGCCCTCAGGACTCCATCAGGGACCTGGGCGTCCTGGCCCAGCACTCACAGGTGACGTTGAGCTGGATGGTTCTTTCCACAGTTAGACCAGTTGTGGGGAACTTCACCTGACACGTGAGGTTGGTGCCATGGTCCTGGGGCCGTGGGGTGAGGGTGAGCACCGAGGAGAAGCGGGTCCTGGGGCCCAGGGAGGTGAGGGCCGCCGACATCCAGGAGAAGATGGGGGGCGTGTCTTGCTCACAGGCCCAGGGCACAGAGCAGGTCAGGTTCCTGGGGTGGCCAGACTCCAGGGTCTCCGGGATGAAGATGTCGGGTGTGTGGGTCAGGGCTGGTGAGGAGATGGGGAGACACAGGGATCAGGAGGGAGAATCTGAGGAGCAGCCCTGAGAGAAGCCTCAGGCTTTGGTCCAGCTCTTCCCTTGGACTCCTGACCTGTTTTACCTGCAAGCCCCTCCCAGGTTGGAAAGTCCCCTGCCTGCTCTGCCCTGGGACCCCCATGTCCTTCCCCTGTGGTGATTCCTGGAGCCAGCGCCTTACCCGTCACATGCACAGAGAGCTGGTTACTTGTGTAAGAATGTTTCACATTTCCTCTCTCCACTCGAAAAAAGTATTTCCCGGCATCTGTCCTCCTGGCGTTTCTGATGTCCAGGGAGCAGTTGTATCTCTGGGGGTCCCAAAGAAGGCGGAATCGGCCCCGGGTCTCCTTCTGTACTCCTGGATATGGGCTGTTTGTGGCCACAGGAGCATCCTGGCCTACTCTGGCCCCTTCCCGGAACCAGTAGCCACGAGCTGGGGTAGAGCTGCTCCAGTGACTCCAAGGATAGGGGAAGGAGCAGGGCACAAACACACACAGGCCCTCCTGCACCGTCACTGACTCCTGCACTTGCAGCTGATAACCCTCTTCCAGCTTCCCCCATCCCTCGGCCCCCTCCCTCCACCACAGCAGGGCCAGCAGCAGCAGCAGCAGCATGTCTGGTGTTGGCAGTGCCAGGTTCCCCAAGAAAATCTGTTTCCCGGGGTTCTTTCTCAGGAACTAAAAGTTGCAGACTTGAGGAGACTTTAACAGGAAGATGAGGGTGAGGTCAGAAGAGTTACCCTCCTCAGAGGAGGAACTTCACACCCAGACAGTATCAGGGCCGGGACAGCCCATGGAGTCAACCATCCACCAACCACGTCCACTCCCAGGGACCACGGGCCAGGGAAGGTGAGAGGCTCACCCAAATTCACAGCCCATGCAGGGCCTGAGCCCCGTCTGCTGCCTCCCTGTCAATGTCCTTTCCCTCAGGGATCGTTTTCCGCCAAGTGAAAATTGGTGCGTTCTGACCAGACCCCCTGAGTCTGTCTGTGGAGGTTGGTCCAGTGCGGGGTGGGACTCAGGGAACCAAGATATGAAGGAGGTCGACTGACCTCCGTCCCTCAGCATCACCATGGTGGGCATCCCCTCTCTGCTCACGAGGTCACACACCAGCCCTGGACACAGCCCTGAGTCACTGTCCAGTGGGGAGACAACAGGTGTCCAGGCAGCTGGAACTCCCTGTGACAGAGGATGCAATGGGTGACACACAGGCAGTGTGTGATGTCGACAACCCTCAAAGTTGGGGGTTGTGTCTCAGGAGGACTGGGCGGGGGGGACACTCAGGCGGTGGAGGCCAGGATTCTGTGTGTTAACACAGCTAAGGATGTCGAGGGGAGCCCAGCCCACAGGACCCCTGGAAACCGGGGCTGTGATTCTCTGTAGAGTGGGGTTTGGAAGCGAAGAAAGTGCAGGAGGGAAGGGGCAAATTTCGAAAGGGATAGAAACTTCCCCCTTTATAGAGACAGTATCCGCACCAGAACGGATTTCTTCATCACTGGTGTCTCAAGGGGCCGTGCTCCTCCTCATTGCTCCAGAGCATGGCAAGATCTGTCCACCTCTGGGTCTTTGCCTAAGCAAGCTCTGCTCTCAGAATCTGGGTATGTGGGAGACACACAGCAAGGAACGCCAGCCTGGGGGTCGTCCACCTTCAAGGATGATGAAGATTTCATGAGAGAAGAAGCATGCTCCTGAATTCACAGAAGGTTAGGTTTAACAGTGTGGTGGGGGCTTTGAGGAACTGATGGGAGTCTTGGGAGGTGGTGACTGTCCAGACGCAAGTCAGTTTTCTGGAAAGGTTTTTTTGGGAAATGTAAGGCACATACAAGTAAGTGCCCCCACAAGAACAGCTCAGTCATTCCTCAAAAAATGAACAACCGGGGCTGGCCCCGTGGCGTAGTAGTTAAGTGCTCACACACAGATCGCAGGAGCGCACTGATGCACTGCTTGTCAGGGCATGCTGTGTCCACGTCCCATATAAAGTAGAGGAATATGGGCATGCATGTTAGCCAAGGGCCAGTCTTCCTCAGCAAAAATATAAAAAAAAGAAAAAGAGGAGGATTGGCATCGATGTTAGCTCAGGGTTGATCTTCCTCACAAAAAAAAAAAAAATGAACACCCTCCAAGAAGTAGAAGGTTAGGAGCACCCAGGACCTCCCCCCTAGATCCCCTTCCCCATCACCACACCACACTCCCCACAGGGAGCCCCAGCCTCACTGTAATGTCATTTATTTCCTTGCTTTGCTCTGTGGTTTATCATCTGAACATGCTGCCTTTAACACCATGGCTTTTCACGTGTTTCTTAAGACTTTGTATACATAGAAAAATTACAGTCTTTCTTCTATTTGACTTCATGAAGCTGCCCATCCCATATTATCCCCTTCCCAGAAGTATCACCCAAAACCTGGAGTAGAGTCAGTGCTGTGATCATGGAGAAGGAAGCTGCGGGGTTGGAGCCTGCATAGACACTCCCACACCATCACCATTTCCTGCATTTTCAGTTGGAATCTCATCCTGCAGACCCCTCCCCCTCCTGGGCCCCTGTGCTGGCCACTCACTCTCTCCCTGCAGGGGCAGCTGCAGCATCTGTGCTCAGAAGGGTGTGGCCACGCCGATCCTGTTCCCATTGTTCGCAATTTGCAAAGAAAAGCAGAAGAATGGGAAGGAGAGACATAGGGAAAAAACTAACTGTGTGCAAAAGAGGAAGTATAACCCACGGGCCATCAGAGCTGAGGGGATCGTCTAGCTTTACTTCTCCATTTTGCAGCAGAAAACCCGAAGTCCAGAGTAAGCAAGTCAGTTGGCCAAATCACACAGGTGCCCTGTCTCATGCACTATTCTCTGCACCTTGAGCCACTTCATCAATCTTTGTCAGCCTAGCTTTCCTTGGCAGAGAGGCAAGAAGTTTAAGTTAATCTGGAAGAGAAGAATTTTCAACTCAACCCAAGAGGGGAGGAAGGAGATTTAATTCATTTGTTCATTTATTCATTCAACAGTCATGTAAATCATGCCTTCACATTGCTAGTAAGAGGGGTGAATATGACAGGTCTAGCCCTTGCCTTTGAGGAGAGCACCATCTGGTAGGGAGACAGGTTACCTGATAATTCTGGTGCCATAGGCAACGTGGCTGTGATGGGGAAGCACACATGGGGTGGGTGGAGCTCTTGCTCGTCTGGACTGAAGGGGGGTCTCCGGGAGGACTGGGCCAAGTAGACATGGTAGAGACTCGCAGGGGGTCAAGAGGGATGTAAATTCCGCAGATGATGCTGGTACCCTGGGAGTTGCCAGACTCGCAGATATTATCTTCTCAATACCCCTCACTCCCATACTGTGCTGGTGATCTTCTGCCAGCTACCAAGTTATGTGTTCTGAATGTGCCCAACCAAATCTTTGCCCCAGCCGACCTTAGACCACCACACATAGGGGGTGCTCCTTCTGCCCAGGACTTACCTGGCTCCTGGGCATTCCTTAGGAAAAGGCAACGGTGCTTTCCGTGGTGCTGATTCAGAGCTGAGTTGGGAGATGTCTGCAGCTCTGTGGAGGGGCCTGCTCACACAGCACAGGGACCTTATATTTGGAGTCAGGAGGGTCAAGACATCAGATGTGCTGGGGAGGGCTCAGGTCTACCTGGGAGGAGACACTAGACAGGGGGAAATTCCTCTGCTTCTCCACCTTTTCTTTCTGTCCACCCTCAGGAATGTCCTATGAACAATGTCAGGCTGTGGTCACCGGTCCAAGGGCAGGGAAGGTGAAGGATTTGTCCTGCACCTTTGCATATCTCTTCCCATTTCATTTTCCCTACATCCCTAACAGAGAGGGATGTTCCCCTCATCAAGTGGAGGAGGCAGCTTAACTTCAGACAGACGAGTAGCTGTAGCAACTAGTCACCAAAGACAACCCCAAACAATCCAGACCCTCCTTCATACAAACATGGCGCTCCTCTCCTTACAAGATGGAGTTGGTTATTATTATCTCCTCTCCGTGAACCTAAATGGGGCTCATGTCCACTTTGCCCAATAGAATGTGGAGGACAAGATGTTCTGAGACTCATGGCTCAGACATTAAGAAAACCTGGCAGGTTCCACTCCCGCGTCATGGATTTCTGGGCATCTGTGTAAGCAACCACGGGGACTCTGATGGAGAGAGATGGTACGTAGAGCAACACTGAGGGGTCAGATATTCAGCCCCAGTCACTGCCACCACCCCAATGCGACTGCCTGAAAGAGCCCGAGGCAAATCTAGGGGTGAAACTGCCCAGCTGGGCTCTGGCCCATTTACAGAACAATGAGAATAAATAATAAACAATACAATAAAATTATTGCTTGAGCCACTGTGTTTTAGGTTGATTTGATGTGCAGGGTGAGATCACTAAACAGCAGCCAGGCAAATCATAGCTAATAAGGAAAAGGTTAAGTTGAAAGTTTACTCACCTGACGGATTTTTCCATTTGCTATATTTAAAGGATGACTTTTAAACGGGTATTTGAAAGCTTCAGTGAACCTACCCGTGGAGGATTTGTCAAGCTGGAACATATCCGTGGAGGATTTGCCAAGCTAGAACAACGTTTCCCATCATCCCATTCCCTCGTTGCTTCCAGGTTAAAGTTGGCCACAAAAGGGAGAAGTTGAAGCTGCCGCCACAGGGCTCTGAGGGTCAGTGGAGGCGGAGGTGCTATGAAGCCCTTGCACATCATCCATGATGTTTGGCTCACCCTGCTGGTGTGGCGTAACAGCTGCTCAACTGCTGGGAGGCAGGGAGGGGTAGCGGAAAGCCACCGGCTGGATTTCAGAGGACAAGGAGCACCAAGCCTTAGTACATGGATTGGTGCCCCAGGTGGACACAGGTGGTCCAGAGAGTCATTTACAGTGACGGGCAAAGGATTCAGGAGAAGAGCATCCCTAGTATTTCTCTCCTACTAAGACGTTGTCCCAGGATCTCTTTGACCTGACAACTAGGGCCATTTGCCTATTCAAAGGAGCCCCATCTTCCCCAGGGCAAAGGGCAAGAAATGGCCCATCTCAGTATTCAGAACGCCCAGTGCCCAGCTGTGAGTCTGTCTATCTTTCTGTGTGTGTATGCTCACCATTAGCCTCCGAGGCCAGTATGATGGCTAATTTTATGCGTCAACTTGACTGGGCTGTGGAATGCCCAGGTTAAATATTATTTGTGCATGTTCCTGTGAGAGTGTTTCCAGATGAGACTGGCTTTTAACGTGGTGAACTCAGTAAAAGAGATTTCCCTCCCAAATGGGGGTGGGCACCATCCAATCCTTTGAGGCACTGAATAGAAGAGAAAACAGTGCAGGTCAAATTTCCAGAGAAATGTTCCAGGGTAAATTTCCAAGGTGGGGTCTCCTTCTCAGAAGTCAGATT